TGTGTTTCTTCATATCCATAATTGTTTATTGTAGTTGCTACATACTGCCTACGCATTATACTCAACCCATGCGGTTCGACATTGTACGCAACCACAAGCATCCACACTCGGCCAGTGGATTCTGGGACAACGGAAGTCGGGAGAAAACCAATCAAGTGTGGCGGTCACCCAGCTTCAGCACCAGGCAAAGCCACCAATCAACGCCACGCGGACCCCTGTGGCTTGGCGAGATGCGGCGCGGTGACCGAATCGCGAAATACCAATGCCTGATTAACATTCAACACATTGGATGTCATAGCTTGCTAACACCATTTCCTCACTCATTTCTCGGGGCTGCGTTTTGTCTGTGAAAGCACCAATCCTCAGCTCATTTATTGAAGCTGTGCTCCCCTAAGCAAGCAAAGCCACTGTTTTGGGTCATCGACTCAGCTTACTGGATCTAGATTCTAGAAATCGAAGATTTGGGGGGAGCCAAAAAACTCGAACCATACGTTTTACCGCTGCAAGACTGTCCCACCCGAGTCTGTGTAACAAACCCTTAGAGAAAATAGCCTGTTAGTTTGGGATTTGCGCTACGACGTCGTACAGTATGGCGAGGAGCAACAGACAAGCAGTTTTCCTGCGGGTGGTCCTCACACTTGCTTTTCTCATCTCCACTCACGCCGCGCCCCGAACCGTCTCATCTCACACCGTCGACCCAGCCCTCAGCCATGAAATTCGCGAGCTGACTAAAATTCCCCATGCTCGTAAACTTCTCGCTGTGAAAGCGACAGTTGCTGACGTGGACGGCATTGATGCTGACGCAAGCAGTGTTGGAGGTCGCGTGAGTTAGAAGCAAACGGTGGTGGGGCAATTGATATGCCCCCAACCCACCGAATGTGTTTCGGTGCTCACCGCTTGAGAGAGGTGCAGGTTTCACGAAGTGTGTGGGTTGACTTCGGAAGACCCACTCAATTGGTGCCACATGGCAACACAAGAAGGATCGAGACTAAGGAAGAATTCGGTTCGGTGAAATTCGGGTGCCGAATTTCACCCCTTCGAATTGTTACGCGAATGTTCTCGATGCATCTCGTATGTTACATGCGCGACTCGATGTTTTGAGTAGCTATATATTGTGATTGCTTTGTATGCATGATATACTGAAAATCAGAGTTTTCTATACGCAGTTCAACTCGACACAAAATCCAGAGACTTTCTATCCTTCAATCTTAGAGCACTACCTAGCACGTTGAAAGCCGTATCTCAGCCGATACTTGGGCGAATTACGTGTTCTACGGCTCCTTGGAAAGTCAAGAGTGTGCTCTACTGCTTAGAACAATTCCTAGTTCCTGCCAACTAGAGGACACGCCTCTACATCAGTGGTATCAGAGCTGGTCGGAGGAGTCTACGCGCGCGACAAGGAGCAAGCATGATGACGTCAAGCGAGGCCTCCCGCACTTCCTTGGATGGTGTCGTTGTAAATACCGGCGAACCCTGGGCAACCGTGACGATGTTCGACACGTCGGCGGTACCGATTTTCACGGGACAAAATTACTCCGCGTGGAAGTTTAAGTTCCAAGTGCTCATGATGGAGCGGGGACTTTGGGGATTCTTCGATGGAACGGAGAAGAAGCCGGACGACGAGAGCGACATCGCGGCATGGAAGAAGAAGGACCAAAAGGCGTTCGCTACGTTGATTTCGCGCATCGGCATCAATCTCGTGAGCTCGGTGCGCATGTGCATCAAGCTCGAAGCGTCGGCGCATGAAGCGTGGAAGCGGCTCGAGACCATCCACGTGAACAAGACTCTCCACGGCAAGATCCTAGCCCGGAATGCGTTCTACACGGTGAAGATGCGCGCGGGCGAATCGATGCACGAGTTTGCGACTCGTGTGGAGGAACTCGGGGAAACGTTCATGGACCTCGGTGGAACGGTCACGGAGGAGGATTGGATTCTCACCTTGCTTTGCGGCCTTCCGGAAGAGTGGTCGACGGTGATTACGACACTCGATAGCGTGCAAGACACTTGGACGAAGGAAATGGTGGTTGGTCGACTTCTCCATGAAGAATCGCGTCGCCGACAATTCGCTAATGAGAGCGAGGGTGCCGCCATGTACTCCGGAGGGAGTTCCGGAAAGAAGTCCAAGTGGAGCAAGGACGCAACGGAGGAATCGTCCGGTGGGAGCGAGCATCGCGGCAAGTGTCACTATTGCCGCAAACCGGGACACTTTTGGCGTGAGTGTCGAAAGCGGCCGAGCGATTGGACTCCATCGATGGCGCGGGACCAAGAGGGCAACGCGCACACGGCATCCGGCGAGGCCGATGATTCAAAGGAGTCGCTCGTGTTAGTGGCCGGCAACGGGAACAAAACTCCAAGCGACGCGTGGTTCCTCGATACCGGCGCAACGCAACACATGACGCACTCGGCGTCGCTCCTCAACAACATTGGCGCTCCGGGAGACGTCACGAGCATCGTGTTCGGAAACAACGAATCGCTACCGGTGGTCGGAGTTGGGAGTACGCGCCTCATCGTCGATAGCGGTCCGGTGGACGTGACGAACGTGTTTCACGTCCCGGGGGTGAAGGTGAACCTTCTATCCGTCCCGCAACTTGCGAAGAAGGGAGTGATCGCCACGATCGACGGTGCGAAAATGAACCTCTTTTGGAAGGGGGAGCAATTCGCGCAAGGTGTTCTCAACGGAGATATCTACCAACTCAAGACGTACCCGAGAGCGGCTTCATCCAACGTGGCGCAAGGCTCCAAGGCGACTCTCAAGGCGTGGCATAATCGGCTTGCGCACGCCAACTACGACTCGGTCAAGGAGTTGGCCAACAAAGGACTTGCGAAGAGAGTCGACGTGATCGCCGGCGACGACGAGAAGGGCGTGTGCGCGGCGTGTGTCGAAGGAAAAATGGCTCGCAAGCCATTCGGTAGCCAAACGTCACCCCTCGCTAAGGACCCGCTTGCACTTGTTCACATGGACGTGTGTGGACCGATGCGGCATGCATCAAAGGGAGGAGCGCGGTTCCTCTTAGTGATGCTCGACGACGCGACGCGGATGTGTTGGACCCCACTTTTGAAGGCTAAGGGAGATGCGGTCAAGGCGATTCAAGAGTGGGCGCTCGAAGTTTGCGACGATGACAAGAAGCGGATCAAGTGATTCGTGAATGCGGAGCTCGAGAAATGGATGAAGTGCAAGGGCATTAAGCACGACGTCACAACACCCTACACACCCCAACAAAATGGAGCGGCGGAGCGGCTTAATCGCACGTTGGTGGAAGCCGTTCGTTCTCTTCTTCAACACTCCAAGCTTGGGAAAGAGTGGTGGGGCGAGGCGAGTTCGCTAGCGGCGTGGATTCGCAACCGTTTGCCGACGAAGGTGCTCCCGGGAATGACTCCGTTCGAAGCATGGACCGGAACGAAGCCGAACCTATCCCGCCTTCGCACCTTTGGGTGCCTTTGCTACTACCATGTACCGGATCCCCTTCGCCACAAGTTGCAACCGAAAGCTCGTGCGGCGATCTACTTGGGAGTTGCGCCAAACGAGCGTGCATGGCGAGTGTGGGACTTGGGTGAAAAGCGTGTCGTCACGTCTCGGGACGTGGTCTTCGATGAAGACAAGTTCCCGTCGAAGGAGAAACCCACTCAACAACTCACCTTCATCCTTCCGCCACGAGAGGAGGTTGAAGAGAGTGAGACTCCACCTCAAGTGGAGAAGGAAGCCGATGGAGGGGGAGAGAACAACGAGGAGAGCATTGATGATGTCGTGGAGGTGTCACCTACCGAGGCGGCAACTACCTCCACACCTTCCTCCCTACCATTGGCCTTGACCCGCGAGCGTCGTGAGGTTCGTCCTCCCTCCAAGTACGCCGACTATGCTACGGTAGCCGTTGGGAAGTTGGATAAGGAGGGGGCGGCATTTTGCTTCGCAACCATGGGTGATGATGAACACATGGATCCTCTCATGGAACTACCCCTTAAAGATCTGTCCCGTGCATGCTACGAGCATGTTGGATTGCACACCTAGTGGGTTGGGTGCAAGGGGGAGTGTTGGAGGTCGCGTGAGTTAGAAGCAAACGGTGGTGGGGCAATTGATATGCCCCCAACCCACCGAATGTGTTTCGGTGCTCACCGCTTGAGAGAGGTGCAGGTTTCACGAAGTGTGTGGGTTGACTTCGGAAGACCCACTCAATTGGTGCCACATGGCAACACAAGAAGGATCGAGACTAAGGAAGAATTCGGTTCGGTGAAATTCGGGTGCCGAATTTCACCCCTTCGAATTGTTACGCGAATGTTCTCGATGCATCTCGTATGTTACATGCGCAACTCGATGTTTTGAGTAGCTATATATTGTGATTGCTTTGTATGCATGATATACTGAAAATCAGAGTTTTCTATACACAATTCAACTCACACAAAATCCAGAGACTTTCTATCCTTCAATCTTAGAGCACTACCTAGCACGTTGAAAGCCGTATCTCAGCCGATACTTGGGCGAATTACGTGTTCTACGGCTCCTTGGAAAGCCAAGAGTGTGCTCTACTGCTTAGAACAATTCCTAGTTCCTGCCAACTAGAGGACACGCCTCTACATCAAGCAGCGCTGAAAGCGAGACGGCTAAGGATGGGCTCGAAGCAACGCAACCCGAGTCGGGCTCCGTGTCCGAAAATCTCGAGGTGAATACGGAGGATGTGCTTATATCAGATGACGATTCGTCTTCAAACGATGACAATCCGGCGGGCGACCAGATCGTTTCCGATGGAATCGCGCAGCCTCAGGAGGAGTCAACACCCACTGAAAACTCCGCCGACGAAGCTGCCTCGAAGTCGGGCGAATCGTCTCAAGACGTGGACAAGCAGAGCAGCAGCGAACTCAGTGGAGGCGACTTGGGATACGGCCCGGAGCTCCAGGCCTTTGATGACGTCACAGAGCCGGACGACGGAATCGCGGAAGGAGCGGAGGATGCGGCGGAGGATGCGGAGGAGGATCCAGAGGACGATACGGAGGACTACTCGTCTGGAATGATGTCGGAACTTGGGAATAGGAGAATTGACGACGATGACGAAGATGACGATGTGGGATGGGAAGAGGATCTCGATTTCCTTGTGAAACCCGACGAGGAAGCCGCTTCGGCGAAGGATGAGCGTCATGCTGAAGCGACAGGGGAGGCTGCGGGGGGTTTGGCGGAAGGGGAGGGATTGGCGGAAGGAGCAACAGCTCCAGTCGCGGTATCGGATCAGGCGGAACAAGGAGGGCTGGCTGTTGCTGCAACGGACGACATTAATAAGGGGCCTGAGCCGCAGGTGTTCGACGATGTTAACGAGCCTGAGGCTAATAACGCGGATGGGACTGAAAAGGCTACAGTAAGAGACGGAAACACGGATGGATCTGACGTTGAATCTTTGGAAGAAATCAAGGTGGAGGCGAGCAGTGCGAGTGACAATAAAGAGGGAGGAGGCATTGACGAGGGGTTGAAGGAGATTATTGACATTGATGCCAGGAATACCAGAAACCCCATTAGCATGATCCTGGAGGAGGATATTGAGTCTGCTACTAAAGGGGCAGAGGAAGTTCCAGACGTAGAGGGGCACCGGAGGGTTCTGTGGATGCTTGAGAATGAAATGGAATCGGAGATGGAGCCTTGACGGTGGGGGCTGGTGGCTGTATAAATAAATGCAGTGCCACAAGGGGTGCATTTGACCAACGGAGGAGCACAGGAGGGTGCTGTGAATGTTGGAGAATGGAATGGAAACAGAGATGGAAGAGGATTGATGGCCGTGGCTAAAAACGATCAATTGCGATGCCCAGGGGATGGCTTCTTGATTGACGGGAGGAAGGGCACAGGAGGGTGCTTCGGATGCTGGAGCATGCCTTGGAGATGGATGGACGGAGGATTGGTAGTAGCCTTATTGCTGTTAATAACGGGCAAATGCTGTCTCCTTTTCATGGAATAGGAGCAGAATATACTTTTGAGTCTGACTCAAAAGTCAACTCTGTTAATAACTTACCCCCTATGTACACTACATGTGTTATTACTGCTTTAGTGTTACACTTGGGTACTTTGTGTGTACTCACTACACACATGGTCGGAAGTGCTTATAATGCAATGCTACATTCTCCTTGCATACGCCTAGCTCAAGCCCCCCTCAATGGTACCCCTCCACACCGCATCTGCTTGCTGCGCCCTACATATCCCATAAGGTGCCTCAACCCCCCCCACCGTTCGCTGCCTCCCTCGACCTCCTGTCAGTCACCCCTTTTGGGATGACTCAGAAGCACCCTCATCGTAACCCTTCATCACCGCACCTGCTTGCTGTGCTCCACATGCCCCATGAGATGCCTCAACGCCCGCCCACTATCCACTGCATCTCGTGCTCTCTCCACCACTGCTCTCTCTTCACCCCTCAGCACCGCTCATCACCGCACCTGCTGGCTGCGCTCCACATACCCCATGAGATGCCTCATCGCCCGCCCACTATCCACTGCCTCTCTCGCTCTCTCCACTGCTGCTTCAAGCCCAATTGCCCTCGCCCCCCACCCCAGCAGGTGATCCTGCACAGCTGCGTTGAACACTATCCTGTCATATGCCGGCCCTTTCACTCCTCTCAAGGCTTCCAGACCCAGGTCGAGATTCTTCTGGGGCTGTTTAGGGGGTGTTATATGAGGACGAGGGCGGGAGGTAGGGAGGGCGGGAGGAAGAAAGGGAGGGAGAGGGATTCAGACAGGCAAGTGTTCTGCGCTGCTGCAGCAGCAACCCCACCCCAGCAGATGACCCTGCACTGCTGGGGTGGGGGTTGCTGCTGCCGCAATGCAGGATATTTGACAGTCCCCTGACGATCTGCACTGCAACAGACTGTCCCCTGACGATCTGCACTGCAACAGACTGTCCCCTCACGATCTGCACTGCAACAGACTGTCCCCTCACGATCTGCACTGCAACAGACTGTCCCCGAAAAAACAAACAACTCACCGATCGGTCGATTCTCGGAGTGAGAGTCTCTTGCAAGCCAGCCGCCACTGCATCAGCAGCTTCCACTGGCTGCTGCCCCTGGAATGCTAAGGCCTAACCGGCTCCTCAAACACGAGCTGAATGGAGGAGATGCACCAGGTTGAAAGGACTCACGGATCGGTCGATTCTCGGAGTGAGAGTCTCTTGCAAGCCAGCCGCCACCGCATCAGCTTCCAGAGCAAACGTCTCACGGTAAAACCCGTCCTCCTCGCCTCCACTCTCACTCTCCTCCCCTCCCTCCGCTCCACTTCCGGCACCCTTCCCTTCTCCCCTCCCCTCTCCTCTCCCCGCCCATCCACTCCTACTGTTCCCCGGCCGAAACCCCGCGCAGTAGTTCACCGGCCGGCCTTTCTTGGCAGCATCCGGGGCCGGGCGGCGGGTCATAAGAGCTAGAGACCCCTCTTCGCCCTTCACCACGAGCCCTGCTTCCACGGGCTGCCTGCGCATGAGCATCAGCAGAGGTTCCTCGTACCCTTCATGGTAAAATCCGGCTACCATGGCCTCTCGCCCCGATGCCTGGAGTTGGAAAAACAGAGGGGAAGGGAGGGGAAATGAGAAGAGGTGAGGAGAAAAGCTCTTCAGTAACGGACCCCTCTTGGCCCTTCACCACGAGCCCTGCTTCCACGGGCTGTCGCCGAATGAGCATGAGAAGCGGTTCATAGCCCTCGTGGTGAAACACCCACCCGGCTACCATTCCCTCCTGCCGTGATGATGCCTGATGTTGCCGGAAGGAACAGGTACAGGCAATAACGAGAGAGGGTAGAAGCCTTCAGAAGAGGGCTTTGATGCATGATGCCTGAATTATGCACACGCAAACACATGCTAGCTCACATGTATGTAGCGCTGCACTATCTCCGTGGTGCCACAACATGCACTGTATATCCTGTACATAAAACGAGTCCTGAGTCGACTCAAAACTCGACATGCACTGTATATCATGTACATAAAACAACGACATAAGCTGGTTTACGAGAATTCTCAAAAACCAGCTGGTGCCACAACATGCTCACTATATCCTGTAGATGAAACAACGATATGCTCACATGATGCACATTATGTATAGAAAAGCCCAGAAGGCTCACATGTATGTAGCGCTGCACTTTCTCTGTGGTGGCAAACGTTGGACGTTTCTTGATGTGCCTACGCATATCCACCAATGAGTAGCTGCCACGTGGACACGTGGGAGGAAGGAGTGAGAACCAAGGAGAGGGGATGGTGGGGAAGGGGACACGGCGGGAGGATGAATGAATGGCAGAATGAGGAGCGGAGAACGGTTGAAAGGTTGGCAGGCGATGGGAATGACATGAGAGATTTGAGAAATGAGATTAACTAGATTCGAGGTTAGAGAAATGACATTAGAGGTTACGAAGCAGATTCGAGCAGGGAGCGAGAGGATGACTGGAACGGAAAGGGTAAGAACGAGAAAAAGAGGGAAGGAGGACAGGGAAGGAAAGCGAGGGATAGAGAGGGGAGGAAACACACCAGGAGGAAACACACCAGGAGGAAACACACCAGGAGGAAACACACCAGGAGGAAACACACCAGGAGGAAACACACCAGGAGGAAACACACCAGGAGGAAACACACCAGGAGGGAGAGCAGTCCTTGAGGCTGAGATATGCCATGTGGATTTGAGGGTCCTGCAAACATGCACATGGTCATTCGAGATGGGCGAGACAGGAGTCATGGGGTAGACATGAAAGAGAGGAGAGGCAGGAGAGACAGAGGCTTCTTGTGGTGGCTGTGCAGGGGAACAGAGCAGTCCTCACGGAGAGACAGACAGAAGCAGAGTAGTCCTGATTGCAGGTTGAGGCTGAGATATGCCATGTGTACATGCCATGAGATACACAGACAAGACATGGGAACTGAGAGACAGGGACGACAGAGACAGATACAGTGGAGACACCAAGGCCACAGACTGCGATAACAGAGATCGCAGAGATTGCACTCAGGACGGCCAAACACAAAGAACCTTCAGCCATGAGAGCTGGGCGAGCTGCAACTCAGGAGAACTCTTTTAGCAGAGATCGCAGAGATTGCACTCAGGATGGCATTCAGGATGGCATTCAGGATGGCACTCAGGATGGCATTCAGGATGGCATTCAGGATGGCACTCAGGATGGCATTCAGGATGGCATTCAGGATGGCACTCAGGATGGCATTCAGGATGGCATTCAGGATGGCACTCAGGATGGCATTCAGGATGGCATTCAGGATGGCACTCAGGATGGCATTCAGGATGGCATCCAGGATGGCATTCAGGATGGCATTCAGGATGGCACTCAGGATGGCATTCAGGATGGCATTCAGGATGGCATTCAGGATGGCATTCAGGATGGCACTCAGGATGGCATTCAGGATGGCATTCAGGATGGCATTCAGGATGGCATTCAGGATGGCATTCAGGATGGCACTCAGGATGGCATTCAGGATGGCATTCAGGATGGCACTCAGGATGGCATTCAGGATGGCATTCAGGATGGCACTCAGGATGGCATTCAGGATGGCATTCAGGATGGCACTCAGGATGGCATTCAGGATGGCATTCAGGATGGCATTCAGGATGGCATTCAGGATGGCACTCAGGATGGCATTCAGGATGGCATTCAGGATGGCATTCAGGATGGCATTCAGGATGGCATTCAGGATGGCACTCAGGATGGCATTCAGGATGGCATTCAGGATGGCATTCAGGATGGCATTCAGGATGGCATTCAGGATGGCATCCAGGATGGCATTCAGGATGGCATTCAGGATGGCACTCAGGATGGCATTCAGGATGGCATTCAGGATGGCATTCAGGATGGCATTCAGGATGGCACTCAGGATGGCATTCAGGATGGCATTCAGGATGGCACTCAGGATGGCATTCAGGATGGCATTCAGGATGGCACTCAGGATGGCATTCAGGATGGCATTCAGGATGGCACTCAGGATGGCATTCAGGATGGCATTCAAGATGGCACTCAGGATGGCATTCAGGATGGCATCCAGGATGGCATTCAGGATGGCATTCAGGATGGCACTCAGGATGGCATTCAGGATGGCATTCAGGATGGCATTCAGGATGGCATTCAGGATGGCATTCAGGATGGCATTCCGGATGGCATTCAGGATGGCATTCAGGATGGCATTCAGGATGGCATTCAGGATGGCATTCAGGATGGCATTCAGGATGGCATTCAGGATGGCATTCAGGATGGCATTCAGGATGGCATTCAGGATGGCATTCAGGATGGCATTCAGGATGGCATTCAGGATGGCATTCAGGATGGCATTCAGGATGGCACTCAGGATGGCATTCAGGATGGCACTCAGGATGGCATTCAGGATGGCATTCAGGATGGCATTCAGGATGGCATTCAGGATGGCATTCAGGATGGCATTCAGGATGGCATTCAGGATGGCATTCAGGATGGCATTCAGGATGGCATTCAGGATGGCATTCAGGATGGCATTCAGGATGGCATTCCGGATGGCATTCAGGATGGCATTCAGGATGGCATTCAGGATGGCATTCAGGATGGCATTCAGGATGGCATTCAGGATGGCATTCAGGATGGCATTCAGGATGGCATTCAGGATGGCATTCAGGATGGCACTCAGGATGGCATTCAGGATGGCATTCAGGATGGCACTCAGGATGGCATTCAGGATGGCATTCAGGATGGCACTCAGGATGGCATTCAGGATGGCATTCAGGATGGCACTCAGGATGGCATTCAGGATGGCATTCAGGATGGCATTCAGGATGGCATTCAGGATGGCACTCAGGATGGCATTCAGGATGGCATCCAGGATGGCATTCAGGATGGCATTCAGGATGGCACTCAGGATGGCATTCAGGATGGCATTCAGGATGGCATTCAGGATGGCATTCAGGATGGCATTCAGGATGGCATCCAGGATGGCATTCAGGATGGCATTCAGGATGGCACTCAGGATGGCATTCAGGATGGCATTCAGGATGGCATTCAGGATGGCATTCAGGATGGCACTCAGGATGGCATTCAGGATGGCATTCAGGATGGCACTCAGGATGGCATTCAGGATGGCATTCAGGATGGCACTCAGGATGGCATTCAGGATGGCATTCAGGATGGCACTCAGGATGGCATTCAGGATGGCATTCAAGATGGCACTCAGGATGGCATTCAGGATGGCATCCAGGATGGCATTCAGGATGGCATTCAGGATGGCACTCAGGATGGCATTCAGGATGGCATTCAGGATGGCATTCAGGATGGCATTCAGGATGGCATTCAGGATGGCATTCAGGATGGCATTCAGGATGGCATTCAGGATGGCATTCAGGATGGCATTCAGGATGGCATTCAGGATGGCATTCAGGATGGCATTCAGGATGGCATTCAGGATGGCATTCAGGATGGCATTCAGGATGGCATTCAGGATGGCATTCAGGATGGCACTCAGGATGGCATTCAGGATGGCACTCAGGATGGCATTCAGGATGGCATTCAGGATGGCATTCAGGATGGCATTCAGGATGGCATTCAGGATGGCATTCAGGATGGCATTCAGGATGGCATTCAGGATGGCATTCAGGATGGCATTCAGGATGGCATTCAGGATGGCATTCAGGATGGCATTCCGGATGGCATTCAGGATGGCATTCAGGATGGCATTCAGGATGGCATTCAGGATGGCATTCAGGATGGCATTCAGGATGGCATTCAGGATGGCATTCAGGATGGCATTCAGGATGGCATTCAGGATGGCATTCAGGATGGCATTCAGGATGGCATTCAGGATGGCATTCAGGATGGCATTCAGGATGGCACTCAGGATGGCATTCAGGATGGCACTCAGGATGGCATTCAGGATGGCATTCAGGATGGCATTCAGGATGGCATTCAGGATGGCATTCAGGATGGCATTCAGGATGGCATTCAGGATGGCATTCAGGATGGCATTCAGGATGGCATTCAGGATGGCATTCAGGATGGCATTCAGGATGGCATTCAGGATGGCATTCAGGATGGCATTCAGGATGGCACTCAGGATGGCATTCAGGATGGCATCCAGGATGGCACTCAGGATGGCCAAACACAAGGAACCACCTCCGCACCCCAACAGTGTCAGCAGCCCCAAACCCAAGGAGCAGATTTGACACTGTTGGCCAACTCACCTCCAAGATGGTAGCAGCTTGAGACGGGGAGAGGCCGGTGTTGGCTCCTAGTAGGCTCAGCATTGCCTCCTCCGTGGCTCCAAGCTGAAGGGCGATGGGAGAGAGAAAAGGGAGAGGAGGAAGAGTGAAGGAGAGTGGAGGAGGAGAGTGGAGGAGGAGAATGGATGGGGAGAAACAAGACAGAAAGAGGTTGGTGTTGGCTCCTAGCAGGCTCAGCATTGCCTCCTCCATGGCTCCAAGCTGAAGGGCGATGGGAGAGAGATGGGAGAGGAATGTCAAGAGTGAAGGGGGAATTGTGGAGGGGAGGAAGGGTGACGGGGAAAGTGGAGGCGGAGAGACATAAGACACTAGTGTTGGCTCCTAGCAGGTTCAGCATTGCCTCCTCAGTGGCTCCAAGCTGAAGGGCGAGAGAAAGAGAGGGGGGAGGAGGGATGTGAAGAGTGGAGAGGAGGACGAAAAAGTGGAGGAGAATGGAGGGGAAGGGTGGAGGAGGAGAGACGAAAAGTGTTGGGTCCCAGCGGGCTGAAGTGTTGACGAGACGTGCATCGCCTCCTCTGTGGCTTCGAACTGAAGGGCGAGAGGCAAGAGAGGGATGGGGAAGGGGAGAGTGGAGGGGGAGGGTGGAGGGAGAGGGTGGAGGGGGAGGGTGGAGGAGGAGGGTGGAGGGGGATAGAGGCAAAAAGTTGAGAAAGAGGTGTTGGGCACCCAGAAGGCTCAGCATTGCCCCCTCTGTGGCTCCGAACGGACGGGTGAGAGGCGAGAGAGGGGGGTTAGGTGGAGGGGTAGAGTGAAGGGGGAGAGAAGGAGCGGGGAGAGAAGGAGCAGGGGATATAGAAAGACGAGCCTGGTGTTGACATCCTGAGCCCCTAGCAGGCCCCTAGCAGGCCCCTAGCAGGCCCCTAGCAGGCCCCTAGCAGGCCCCTAGCAGGCTCAGGATTGCCGCCACGAAGAGAGTCGTGCAGAAGTAGCGCGTGCTGCTGTCAACACTCACCCACCCACCCACCCACCCACCCACCCACCCCGTGCATACAGCTGAGAGTAGAGGCACGGCATGCAGCTGAGAGTAGAGGCACGGCATGCACCTTGGATGGGAGCGTGTAGCCTCTCACCTTGGGCGGAAACTCGTCCACCCCATGCAGCAGACACGCCTCCCCACTGCTCGCCCTGACTGCCGCCACGAAAAGCGTCGGGCGGAAGTAGCGCGTGCTGCCGTCGTAGGGATCCCCGTAGTGGGTGAGTGAAGGCACTCTTGCAATGGGGGCTGGACCCATCTCCTGAAGGTGAAGAAACAGCAAGGGGAGCAGAATGAAAGGCGAGGCGAGAGGGGAAAGCAAGGGAGGGAGTAGCGCGTGCTGCCGTCGTAGGGGTCCCCGTAGTGTGTAAGTGAAGGCACGTTTGCTATTGGTGCTGGACTCATCTCCTGAAGGGAGAGATGGAAAGAGCAAGGAAGGGAGGCGAGTGGAGGGAGTTAGATGGCGGGTGGGAGGGAGGGATCTTTGAGTCGACTCAAAAATCGCCTCTTCACATGGCGGGAGGGAGGGAGGGAGGGAGGGAGGGAGGGAGGGAGGGAGGGAGGGAGGGAGGGAGGGAGGGAGGGATCAGATACCAAAGCAAAAGGCATATTTTGAGGCGCCTCAAAGAGGTGTATTTTGAGGCGCCTCAAAGAGGTGTATTTTGAGGCGCCTCAAAGAGGTGTCAACTTTCCTAACAACGAAACGCGCTTTCTTCCAACGCCTTCGTGATCGTGGTTAACCCCCTGTTTTCCTCCGACCGATCTTCAAGGGCGTCCTATTCGCACATCGTGCACCACTCCTCGCCGACACTCTCACGAAACAGCTTTTGCGACACACCTCTCTCCCCTCTACACGCGGACCCCTAGTCTTGAAGACGACCTACACACCTGTGTCGGCTCGGCTCGGGCTAGGGGTAGTTTTGAGACGTCTCAAAACTAGATTACTTTCACGCGGATTTTATATGGAGAGATTATTTGTTGCTTGGAAGGCTGGGTGTAACTTGCAAAAGTTACTTGTTCGCGCGAGGCTCCCGAAGCTACAGTTGGCGAAGAGTGAGAATTCCACGTTACGCCTCGAGGAATGAAGACCCGAGCCCCTCGGTTTTTTCCAGGGTGCTCTGGATTGGCTGACCAGATTTCAGCCACGGTTATTACGCGCCTAGATTTCTGGTTTCTCGAAACGTAGTTCTTACTTAAGGGCTTCGTTCCCACTCTTGTCTTTCATTCTGCTAGCGCTGATGAAGGTTTGACTTGGGGCCTGTCCCAGTCGACCGAAACATGTTCGCGTTTTAATCCTATAGTGGAATAAGAGTTCGGATTTCAGTTTTCTTGGTTGTTTACAGGGCCACAATTTCACTTGCTAAAGATTTCTACCAGACTGCAGCTCGCCTAAACAAAGCTTTACGGATACCACACGTGGGAGGGAGGGAGGGATCAGATACCACACGTGGGTGGGAGGGAGGGATCAGATACCACACGTGGGTGGGAGGGAGGGATCAGATACCACACGTGGGTGGGAGGGAGGGATCAGATACCACACGTGGGTGGGAGGGAGGGGTCAGATACCACACGTGGGTGGGAGGGAGGGGTCAGATACCACACGTGGGTGGGAGGGAGGGGTCAGATACCAAGCAAAAGGCATGGCTCCCCTCCTTGCACTCCGCCAGTGCATCGCTCACTCCCTCCAAGTCAACCCTTCCCCCCACATCAAAGACCTAGCAAAAGGCATGGCACTGGGCACTCCTCCCATTACACCACCCTACCTGATCGAACGCCAGGCAGAATGCCTTGAGCTCGCGGTCGGTCTCTCGGTTCATGCGCACAGCGATCAGATATGCCGCCACCAGTGCATCGCACACTGCCCCCCCTCCCTCCTCCGCACTTCCGCCCCTCATGGGCAGCAGGTTCTGCAGCAGCGACATGGTTTCCTGGAAGAGGTGGGGTTGGGGGTGGCAAAGGAGAGCACACAGGACCAGAGATCTCAGCGGTTTTGAGCTGTCTCAAACGCTTCCCACGTCCCTCTCTCCCCCGCCCCTTGCAGCCGCCCCTCATGGGCAGCAGGTTCTGCAGCAGCAACATGGTCTCCTGGAAAGGAGGGGTTTGGGGGGGTTGGGGGGCACAGAAAACCACACAAAAGAAGAGTAACGCTTACTGAAAATAACCAACAAGCATGCACAAGAATCTGGAAATCCGTGTAGTGTTGAGGCACCTCAAAACTGCACAAGAATCTGGAAATCTGTGTCAGTGTCAGCATGGGTGAGTGTGCTTGTGGTGGAGAAGGAGAAATTGGATGCGGAATGTTGCTCCACACACAGGCCAGAAGACCTCACCTGAAACCTCACCTGAAATCTCACCTGATTCCTCACTTGAGATATCGCCTGAGATCTCACCTGAAACCTCACCTGATACCCCACCTGAGATTCCACCTGAATTCTCACCTGAAAGCCAAGGTGCACGCCGAACAGAATATCCCTGAGATCTCCCACCACCTGCGCCTCCTGCTCCGACCCATGCCCGTTGAACGTGGGACCCACAGGGAGCGCATCATTGAAAATGGAACCCTGGGGGGATGCAATGGAGGGACAGAGAAGAAGCACAAGGTAGGTATGTGGCTCGCGAGTCGCACCCCACCCCACCACCTGAGGGGGTGGGGAGGTGTATTGAACAGGGGAGAGTATCCACATTGAGACACATACGAGAGGCACGAGACATGTGGCTCCCACTGCATCCCACCGCATCCCACCGCATCCCACCGCACCTCACGCGCCACAGCACCACCTGAGCCTACTGCTCCGACCCATGCGGGTCGGGGGGGACGTGGGACCCACAGGCGAGTTTTTTTTTTTTTTTTTTTTTTTTTTTTTTTTTTTTTTTTTAATGGAACCCTGAGCAAGAGACTGTATCGGGTCCCTTCACCTCACCCAGCACCCACCTGAGGGTCGGCAAGGAAGAGCACGTCCCGGGGGAGGTGGTATCTGAGGGCGGGCCACATGTCAACCAGCGCCCGCCTCTCCCCCTCACTCCACTGCGTGGGAGGAGGGAAGCAGTTGGCTCGCACCGTCATGCCTGCGAAAAAGGCGCCCATCTGCGCCCGTGATACGCGGTCAGAGGGGGGGAGCTCGCCCTTGGCTGGTGTATGGAGCAGGGGAAGAGGGGCAAGGCAGAGCAGGCAGGGAGTAGGAAGCAGTTGGCTCGCACCGTCAAGCCTGCGAAAAAGGCACCCCATCCGCGCCCGGGACACTCGCTCTGAGGGAGGCAGTTCCCCTTTGGCTGGTGTACGGGGCACGGGGCACAGAGGCACGGGCAGGGGGCAGGAGGCACAGGGCAGGGGGCACGGAGCACGGGGCAGGGGGAACAGAGCACAGGGCAGGGGCCAAGAGGGAGGGGTCAGGGGGGCAGGGGGGGAGGGGGGAGCGGAAGAGTGAAGGGTTGTTGTGTTGGTCATTCCACTGCTTGGCGGGAGGGAAGCAGTTGGCTCGCACCGTCATGCCCGCAAAGAACGCCCCCATCTGCGCCCGTGACACTCGCTCTGATGGAGGAAGTTCATCTTTTGCTGGTGCATGGGGCCGTGGACGAAGGACAAGGGGGAAAGAGGGGAGGAGGCAAGGGGCAGGTGGGAAGGGACAAGGGACGAGGGGGAGCGAGGAGGGGGGAGGGGAGAGGGGCAGGGGGCAGGGGGCAGGGGGCAGGAGACAGGGGACAGGGAACAAGGGGCACGGGACAGGGGACAGGGGGCAGGGGACAGGGGACAGGGGACAGGGCGCAGGGGACAGGGGGCAGGGGACAGGGGACAGGGGACAGGGCGCAGGGGACAGGGGACAGGAGATAAGGTTGTTGCACGATTCAGTTCACTGAGGCAATTCTCCCTTGGCTGAATGGGGAAGAATATGAGAGAGACGAGAGTAGATGATGAGGGCAAGGCAGTTGGAGGGCAATGTCATGCCTGACAGAACACCTGACGGGTTACCTGGGGCTCACCTGAAAGAACACCTGGGACATACCTGACAGAACACCTGAAGGCGCACCTGAAAGAACACCTGAGGACACACCTGAAAGCAAGATCTGCTCCAACACGCGCCGCATCTCCTCTTCGCCCAGCGGCCGGGTCTGCGTGGGTCCAGTGCACACGCGCGCCTGCGCTTCGAGAACCACCTGGTTCGGACCCACGTCATCCTGCAGGAACCTTCCGCCAAACTTCCCGCCGGACTCCACTTCCCCGATCCCACGGATCTGAGCCGACACGGGCGGGTCAGATCCGCCCGAGGCTTGGCTTGTACCGCTCGCGGCGAAAACGGCTAGGCGGTGAAAGGAGGGCAAGTTACTAGGAGAATTTAGCGCGCTTCGGGTTCGGAGGAATCGCGTGAAATGAACTTGTGTGGGAAGGACTGTTGCGCATGGGTTATACGCAGCGCGGCGGCTCAGTGGCCCTCCTGCTGCTGCGACGGTCGCGGTTGGGGCGGATCTGAAAATCCAATCGCACGATAGCGAGTTCCTCGCCTGCGATTCGGCGGATCGGTTCGCATGATGCGGCCCGCGCCAATCGCCTGGGTCGCAGGGGATCGCAACTGGGGGAATTGCCGCGGTGCGATGCGGCACGGGGGTAACCCGCGACATGTTCATCTGAGTTGCGAAGATGTCAGTTCAGGTTAGAGGTAAAGTACGGCTCGATACTCGAATCGCAGAGAAAGGTTATTTCACATATGGACACGTGGGATGTGGATGATTGCGAAACCAAAACACGAAACTCGGCACCGAAAGTTGGCAAAGGCAGACGAATAATAGCCAATTACTACTATTGCGTTTAAGTGTGGACAGAGTGTAGCACGTGTTACTTGGATTCATGAATTAGGAATATCGGTTCTTTCGATCGAATTATTCGTCATAGAATGATTGATTGGCTGGCAAATCCACGTAACAGTTTACCTGAAGTCAAAACGTCTTTGGCAAATCTGCCCGTCTTGGGATTTCTGAACTTTTGTAAAGAACACGTCATGTATGACTCAGCAGCAGCAATGCCTACCGGCATCTGCTATGGAACTGACGGGGAGACGAGAAAAACGGAGACGGGCAGCTTGGTCAGATTGGCGGGAACTGGTATCTGCTTTGACGGGGCAGCACACTGCACAGCCTCGATGGAGCAGGGGAGTTTCCGGGCAGGGGCAGCAGCAAAAACAAAGCACCCATCAAAACCCACATGCGGTTCGGAACGCATCAACCATAAGTGAACACGTGCACAACACCACAGCACAGAACAACCGACCGACCTGACCTACGGTACGGAAACTAGACAGGAACAGCACACCCAAGAAACATGTGGATCCGCTCAACCGCATTCAACCCTTCCGCTACACTTCAGGGAAAACCCTCATTCTGTCCATTACTTCATGTGATTCATTTCCTCGGCTCCGCTCTGAGACCTTGAGATTACCGTACCGCACATCTTTAGTTCCCGGTCTACATGCCTGACGTCCTCTCCGAGGACTCGCCGCCACTTACGCCAGTTTTTCTTGCGTACTTAGTTTCTGTGATACCGATTAAATTTTACAGCTGCGGACTGCGCGGCAGCTTTGGCGGGAACATACATTCTGTTTTCCTAGTGACTGCTGCATTATACATTTCCGCGCTAGAAATCGCTAGTTATATTTTAATTTATTCGTTCCGTACAGACCTTTCCAGTTAGCCCGAACGCCAGTAACAAGCAGTCTCTCCGTCTGAGCCTACTTGAACCGGCGTTAACACCCAACCTAGCCTGTCGGACGGCTTAATTCGCAACAAGGACAGCAAACTTGTCCGACAAGCCTTTTGTAGCGAACACCGTGGCGTGACGTTGGAGCAACCACCGTGGCGTATCAGCTGTAGCAAACATCACGACGGAGCCTTGCTCTACACGAACGTATCATCGAGAGGAGCGTGAGCGAGATAAGCGCGGGAGTTAGAGCAGCGCGCGAGCGATGGGGAACCAGACGAGCGTGGTGGACGCACTGATCGATCTCGAGTTCCCGTCAGCCGCGGTGCCCCCCGCGGCGCGCCTGCCGCCCGGCCACGACCTCCCTATGGGCGTTCTCTCCTTCGAGGTCGCGTCGCTCATGCGGAAAGCCCTCGATCTATGGCGGCAGCTCGACGCGCGGAATATAGCGGGCTTGGAAAAGCAGCTGCAGGTGAGCCGGTTCTGTTTGTCTGTTTTGGTTGGTTGCTTTTTCTTTCTAATTCCAGACGTTTCAGAAGCTCATTGCGCGCCGTAGTCGGCGCAAGAGTCGCCAGGCGCAAACACTGTCTCCCCGCCGACACTGTCAAAGGCGCTGTCTCCCCGCCGACTTCCCCCCCTGGCCACCACCTTTGATTGGCGAAAATGAGTTCCCGCCAGGCGCACTGCCCCGCGCCGGCCTCTCGGCCAGCCACGACCTGCACGCATGGGCGCGAGTTTATGGGGCGCGCGCGAACTTTGGAGACAGCTCGACTCGCGGAACATTTTTCGCTTAGAAAAGCAGCTACATTGAAGACGCGCAGTGTTCTCCCACAGTCGACTCAAACAGCACCCCCCTCCCGTCCTCCTCCGCTCCTCTCCTCCTCTCTCTCTCTCTCTCTCTCCCTTCCCCTCTCCCCTCTTTTCCCCCCTTTCCTCTTTTTCTCCGCCTGGTGCGCGCAGAGTATGCCTCCGACCTCACCGCGCTCTCCCCCTTTCTCCAAACACCCCTCTCCCCGCAAGCAGACCGAGGGGCTGAAGCGCCTGGCGGGCGCAGAACACGCCTGGCGGGCGCAGAACACGCCTGGCGGGCGCAGAACTCGCCTGGCGGGCGCAGAACACGCTTGGCGGGCGCAGAACACGCCTGGCGGGCGCAGAACACGCCTCCGACCCGACCTCACCTGCTCCCAACCTTTCCCTTCCCCCGTCCCTCCGCAAGCAGACCGAGGGGCTGAAGCGCCTGTGCATGGGGGACTAATGCTTCCGACCTCACTCTCTCCTCCTCCCACCTTCCCCGCGCACCCTCCTCCCACCTTCCCCCGCCCTTTTCCCCCCAGACCGAGGGGCTGAAGCGGCTGTGCGTGGGGGACTATTCTCTGCGTGGGGGACTATTCTCTGCGCTGGCGCCTGGCGGGCGCGGAGTATGCTTCCGACTTGAACGCGCTTACCCTTTTCTCTCCCCCTCTTTCCCGCCCCCTTCCCCCAGACCGAGGGGCTGAAGCGTCTGGGCGTGGGGGACTATTCCTTCCGCTGGCGCCTGGCGGGCGCGGAGTATGCTTCCGACTTGAACGCGCTCACCGCCGCCGTGGGGGTCCTGGCGCGCAGGTGCGGGGGCACGCGGAGCGGGGAGGTGCTGAAACGGCTGCGGGGGTACAGCCGCGCGTGGAAGAGAGAAGACAGCTTCAGTGAGGGCGAGGCGGACGAGCTCATGCGGTGAGAGGGGAAGGACGCAGGGCGTGACTGTGATTGTAACGACGGTGTGATTGTAACGATGATATGAGGGTACGAAGGTGTGTCTGAGAGGAAAAATGAAGGGGAAGGGGAGGAGGAGGGGGAAGGGGGGGGGGGGGGGGGGGGGGGGGTTGTGTTTGGCTGGAGCGGAGAGGTGCTCTTTGGAGGTGGGGGTACAGCCGCGCGTGGAAGCGTTGAGGTGTATTTTGAGGCGCCTCAAAATACAACTCAAAATGCCTCAATGCACGAGGTGGGGGTATAGCCGCGCATGGAAGCGCAATAAGGGGACAGCTTTAGCGAGGAGGAGGCGGACGAGCTCATGTGGTGAGGGAGGAAGGCGCGACCGTGATGTGATTATAACGAGGGCGTGATAGTATCGTGGGTGTTTTTAATACAAGGATGTGATGTGAACCTCTTGGTTTTCCTTCCCTTCCCTATGCACGTCGCTTTGTTTATCTGTTCCGCTTTGTTTATCTGTTCCGCTTTGTTTATCTGTTCCGCTGTGTTTATCTGTTCCGCTTTGTTTATCTGTTCCGCTTTGTTTATCTGTTCCGCTGTGTTTATCTGTTCCGCTTTGTTTATCTGTTCCGCTTTGTTTATCTGTTCCGCTTTGTTTATCTGTGAACCTCCTGGTTGTCCTTTGGAGCACCTTGAATATCGTCACTTGTCCTCCGTCAGCCATAGAAGCTTTGGAGCACCTTGAAAAAATCTTTAGCAAGTGATGAGTAGCTTGTAGAACGAGCTCATTGATCGCCGGATATCGTCACTTGTCCTCCGTGTTACAAAGGTTCGTAGCACCTCTCACTTTCCCCTCTGCTTTTTTTGCTTTCGTTTTTGCCCTGTTTTCCCCTCTTTTTTCTTGTTTCTCTTTATTCGTACCCCCCTTTTTATTTCTGGGCAGGTTCCTGAGGGAGCAGCTGGAGCCAATGGGAGCGCTGCACAACGCGATGCTTGCACTGGAAGACGTCATCCAGAGGTGATTCTCGCTCACCACCGCTGTTAATTGTCTACTTTTGAGGCGCCTCGAACGTGGATTCTCGCTCACCACCGCTGTTGATTGTGAAAAACTCAATCGTGTGCAGCCTCGCGCGCCGCTCCAACCCAACACCATCTCAACCCCCCTCGTCGCGCTTCTCCCCCCTCCCCCTCCCACCCCTTCCTCCCCCCTTCCTCCCCCCACTTCCCTCCTCTTTGCTCACCATCTTGGTCGTTAGCAGATCCCGACCTGCAGAGCCCAGGACGGCATATGGATCACCTCAATAGCCCCCCTTCTCTCCGCTCTGCTCCTCCAAGCTGACTTTTGAGTCGACTCAACAGAGCCCCAATAACCTCCGGACGGCATATGGATTACCTCAACAGCCCCCCTTCTCCCCTCTCTGCTCCTCCACCGTCTGTTCTCCCCCCACCAGCTCTGCAGCAGACCCGGAAATGCAGAACCCCAAGACGCGCCGCGCCAAGGGGAAGCCTCAGGCGGCCGTGATGGAGCAGGTGGGGTGGGGGCATGGCATGGGGAGGCATGGTTTGTGGGATGGGGGGCTGTGATGGAGTAGGTGAGTTTTGAGACGTCTCAAAACGCGATGGAGCAGGTGGGGTGGGGGCATGGCATGGGGAGGCATGGTTTGTGGGATGGGGGGCTGTGATGGAGCAGGTGAGATGAGGCCAATGGGGGGTGCATGGTTTGTGAGGGGACATGCAGAACCCTAAGGCCTGCCGTGCCAAGGGGAAGCTGCAGGTGGCTGTGATGGAGCAGGTGGGGTGGGGGCATGGCATGGGGAGGCATGGTTTGTGGGATGGGGGGCTGTGATGGAGCAGGTGAGATGAGGCCAATGGGGGGTGCATGGTTTGTGAGGGGACATGCAGAACCCTAAGGCCTGCCGTGCCAAGGGGAAGCTGCAGGTGGCTGTGATGGAGCAGGTGGGGTGGGGGCATGGCATGGGGAGGCATGGTTTGTGGGATGGGTGGCTGTGGTGGAGAGGTGGGGTGGCGGGATGCGGGGCTGTGGTGGGATGGTAGGGTGGTGGCTGTGGTTAAGCAGGTGGGGTGGGGAGGAGTAACAGTGGGTGTAGTGCGGTGGGCGGCTGTGGTGGAGCAGGTGGGGTGGCGATGAGGAGCAAATAGTGGGTGCAATGCGAGTGGACGGCTGGGATCGAACGCGTCGTCCAATCTCTGTCTTTGATCGAATGCTCAAGAGGTTTGGTCCAAACGCTGTTCTGCATGCACTGCACGCATTTTGGATCTTCAAATCACACCCCCCCTCTCTTCCCCCCACTGCCTCTCTCCGCTCTCCTCTCTTTCCTCCTCCCCATCAGATGCAAGTGGTGCATCAACTGCAGCGAGCATCCCTCTGGAACCACCCACTCGAGCGACCGGTGCTGGTGAGTTAACTGCCTTGCTGGTGGGTTCCTAGCGGTACCGATGGGTCTACTGCGTTGACGGCCGGTTCATTGCGGTTCCTTATGGTCTTAGCCTTTTACTTTACCTCGAAACCTCACGTGCCCCAGTAAGGACACTGTTCCTGTTTGCCTGCTCTGGCGGACCACTCCTCTCACCTGTTCCCCTTCCATCAGTATTCAATCAGTCTCGCCGTCAACCCACCCACCCTTCTCCCCTTCCTCCAACTTCCCTCCCTCCCCCACAGCTCCTGGCAGTGTCGCTGGGAGTGCTGTGGCAGCAGTACCGATCAGTCTTCGGCCGGCCACTCCCCCCCTAGCAGGTCGAGCTGATGAGAGAGATGAGCCCCTCTCCTCTGCCCCCCCCCCCCCCCCCCCCCCATCTCCCACAGCTGCTGGCAGTGTCACTGGGGGTGCTGTGGCAGCAGTACCAGTCTGTCTTCGGCCAGCCGGCGCCCCCCAAGCAAGAGGAGTTGAAAGCGACACTGGGAGCAGCGGGGCTGCCTTCGGTCTATGCGTGTTGCTGAGCCGTCTTCCTTCTCTCCCGCTCCCCTCCACCCCTTTTCTCCGCTCTCCCCTTCCCCTGCTCTCCTCTGCCATCACTCCCCCCTTACAGCTGCTGGCAGTGTCACTGGGGGTGCTGTGGCAGCAGTACCGGTCTGTCTTCGGCCGGCCAGCCCCCCCCAAGCAGGAGGAGCTGAAGGCGACGCTGGGAGCAGCGGGGCTACCGTCATTGTTTGCGCGAGTGCTTCTGGGGGTGGAGCAGATGAGAGAGATGAGCCCCATCAGCCAGCCTTTCAAGGAGCAGCGGTGAGTGAGGGTTTGACCATGCTGTGCTGTTAGTCTTTGTTGGGGTTTGGGATGGGCTTAGGTGGGAGCAGCAGGGCTGCCTTCGGTCTATGCGCGCGTGCTGCTGGGGGTGGAGCAGATGAGAGAGATGACCCCCATCAGCCAGCCATTCAAGGAGCAGCGGTGAGAGTCTCTTATGTATACATTTATCTACCCCGATTTTCTTTTCCTTTTTTTTTTTTCCTTGTACCTCATTCTCCCCACCCTCACTCCCTCCTCTCTCTCTCTCCTTCCGCCAACCAATTAGAAGAGAGCTCTATTCCATCCTCCCGTCCACGGTGCGTCGGCGCTTGGCCAAGCGGCTGAAGCAGCGGTCCAAGCGGCAGATAGACGGGGCGATAGCCCGGGACCTCAGGGGCGTGGTGGGAAATATCCTGCTCTTGATATCTACCTCTCTACCCTTCTGAATCACTCCTCGATCTCACACACTCCTTGCCCTCACTCTCCCAACCATTGCACACACCCTCCTCACACTCCCTGCCCCTCCACCCACCAGGAGAGAGCTCTACTCCATCCTCCCGTCAACCGTGCGTCGGCGCCTGGCCAAGCGGCTGAAGCAGCGGTCCAAGCGGCAGATCGACGGGGCGATAGCCCGGGACCTCAGGGGCGTGGTGGGGGATATCCTGCGGTGGGTCGTGCCTCTGGCTGAGCGCACGGAGGTGTGGAATGGCGACAAGTCGTTCGGGGCTCAGAGGAGGAACCGCGGGCACCGCACGCTGCTGGTGGAGGTGCGTGAGACTCCAGTGCTCTTTGCCTTCTTCCAGCCTCGCGTGCTTTGAGCGCACAGAGGTGTGGAATGGCGACAAGTCGTTTGGCACGCAGAGGAGGAACCGCGGCCGCCGCACGCTGCTGGTGGAGGTGAGATGCTGGTGGGGCCAGGGCTGTGCTGGTGGGGACGAGTGGGAGGCTGTGCGGGTGGATTGGTATGCAGGGGCAAGGTCTAGGTTTGAGATGTCTCAAAAGACCCCCCTTTTTCTTCTCTTCCCTGTCCCCCATACCCGACTCTTCACTATTGCGACACGGACAAGGTTGAGGCAGTGCTGGTGGAGCTGCTGGTGTCTGCCACTCCACTTGTCCCACACCCATTCCCCCCACCTCCTCCGTTCTTCTCTTCCCCTTGTCCCCTATACCAGACGCTTCACTATTGTGACAAGGACAAGTTTGAGGTGGTGCTAGTGGAACTACTGACCTCCTTCTCCCTCGTCACACTCCACTTCAGACGCTCGCACCTGCAACCACACCCGCCCTCCAAAGCTCGCCCTCCCTCGGGCCCGGTCCGACGCAAGCAGCCAGGCTCGGCCGAGCCTAAGAACCAGGCCGCGCCGTCCACCGCTCCTCCCTTTCCCCCTTCGGCGTCTGCTCCCACTTTTGCTAGCAGTAACAGTATGAGCAATGGTTATGGTAACAGTGAGGGCAACAGCAACAGCAACGATAACAGTAGTCCCACGAGCACTGCTTACGGAAAGTCGATGTCCGTTTCTGCCACTCCTTCTGCTGCTGCTGCTTCTGCTGCTCCTCCTACTGCTGCTCGCCCTTCCCCCATGGCCCGTGCTATCTCTATCACTGATGCACCTGATGGGGGTGTAAGGCAACCCCGTACCGGCCCCTACCGTTCCGGACCTCCCAGTTCTCCCCGTGCCGGACCTGCTTCTAGGTCAGCCGCTCCCGGACCTCCCAGTTCCCCTCGTCCCAGACCTGCTTCTGGAGCAGCCCCTCCCGGACCTCCATCTATGGCTCGGTCTGCTTCCAGTGCTCCTCCCTCCATGGCTCGTACCGCACACGAACCTCCTCCTACTGGTCCGGCCATGCCTAGGCCAGCTCCCCAAGCAAGGCCTGGCCCAGGACCAGCTCCCGGACCTGGAGGGCCTCGAGGCAACCCAACCGGACCTCGCCCCAGGCCTGGTGCTGGCCCCGGACCTAGGCCTTCTCCAGGCCAGGCGATGCCTGGGAGGGGAGGCATGGGACCCGGAGCTGGGGTTCCTCCGGGTATGCGGGCAGGGCCCCCGGGACCTCAGGCTCGGCCCGGACCTCAATACCGCACTGGAGGTCCGGCACAGAGGCCAATGCAGGGGGCAAGGCCGATGGGTCCGGGAGGAGGTATGGGAGGAGGTCGGGGAGGTGGGGGAAGGGGGGGTGGAGGAGGTCCGGTCTACCGGCCAAATCCTGCATCTCCGGTGTTGGACGATATTGATGGTATGCCTATCCGACGGCCAGGAGGGAACGTTAGTGCAGGGCAACGCCAGAAGATGCAGCAGAGGGAGTGGCTGAAGAGGGAAATGCAACAGGGGGGCTCTCATGCGATGGGATGAAAAGACTTATGGCTTATTACCATGCACGGGGAGTTCAGGAATGCTGTTTTTTGCTTTAATATATTTATACTAGGGGTGAAATATCCATTTTATTACCCTAAATAATGATTATTATTGCCTGTAGGTAATTCCCAGATTATGAAGCATTTATGCATGCGTGGCAGTCTATTGTCTGTTCCTGAATTATCACAAGCCGGTACAACCGCGTTTACACTTAGCGAACCACAAGAACGTCATCCATGTTGAGGTCCGAGCCGCGAAGGGCTGGTCGAAGATATCGTGGCGACGTCGTCACCTCTCAGTCACAAAACCACACACATTCACTTGAACCGCTTTGAAATCCGACGGATCAACGTAGATCGTTTTGCACCTCATGCCGACGTCGTGATTCGTGAACCCTCCGCGAACCGCGCGAGGGAGGCGTAGCGTCTGATTGGTGGAGTGTGGCGGCCTCAGGGCTTGAGCATGGCGCCCTCCGATTCGCTCTTAAGCGCTTCGGCTCAGCAAATCTCAGTCCGATAATCCCTGCCGCGCCGCGGATCCGTCAGACTTGCGCAAAAAGGGGGGAGGGCGGGGGTGCCTCTTTCCGCAAGACCTTCAAGATTCAACAATCGGTGCCTATTTCATTCGCTGGTCAAGCAGATCCACCACGATGTGTGGCGTAGATTGCTCCAGCTGCGCCAACTGCTCCGCAACCGCAACACCTCCGTCCCTTCCCATCCACCCTAGTGCAGTTCCAACTGAGGGGAAAGCAAGCAATGCTTCCGGGGGTCACACACATACCACTCGCCTACTCTCCGCCCCCCTTCGATCTGTACTGCTCGGGCGCTCTAATCAAAAGCCCCCATTACCAGATTTTCCTTCTCTACCTTCCCTTAAAGCCCAAGACCTGAATTACTCAACGGAAGTCAACTGAGTATTTCTAGGTTCGGCAGGCTGCCAGTTGGAGGTTCGGATGGGTTGAGTGACAGGCGAAGCCTCAAAAACACTTTGCGACTGAAAGTAGTTCGCCACAAACTCCCCCTACATGCTGATTGGTTGTAAAAAGCAGGCAGGGCCCTTCTTCCCAAACTCGACAAACCTGAGAAGCAACGTGCCAGGGAAACTGTGCACAGTTTGAGCAGCCACACATGCACTCGAACAAACATATTAGTTGCTTAGTCCACTTCAGCAGGGCGCCACCTTAGATTCTAGAAATACGCGGAATAGCCGTAGGGAGCGAATGTCCGTGTGGACTGGACCAGCAAAGTGCGATGCTTAGGGTGAGGATAGAGGAGGCTGTTACTAAATGCCAGTGCGGGCGTGAGTTAGCGAGACACATCGAGGCCTGAACTGGCGATTTTTTCAGAGAGTCTAAAAGTATAGGCTAATACACAAACACTCGACCACGCTCGCTTCCCATAGGTCACAGGGCGGACGTATCCATCGTCTGCAATGCGTAGCCATCTTACGCCGCGCGTCGGAGCCGATTAGAAACAAACGCGCTAGAGACAGCCTCAGCATCTTGCCTCCCGCCCTGCCCAGGAAATCCCCTCCCCGCCATTTGGTCGCGCCTGCCTTTCACATATCGCATGGTGAGAAGCTTCCCGTCGCCCTCATTCCATCTTCCCGTCGCCCTCATTCCATCTTCCCGTCGCCCTCATTCCATCTTCCCGTCGCCCTCATTCCATCTTCCCGTCGCCCTCATTCCATCTTCCCGTCGCCCTCATTCCATCTTCCCGTCGCCCTCATTCCATCTTCCCGTCGCCCACATTCCATCTTCCCGTCGCCCTCATTCCATCTTCCCGTCGCCCACATTCCATCTTCTCGTCGCCCTCATTCCATCTTCCCGTCGCCCACATTCCATCTTCCCGTCGCCCTCATTCCATCTTCCCGTCGCCCTCATTCCATCTTCCCGTCGCCCTCATTCCATCTTCCCGTCGCCCTCATTCCATCTTCCCGTCGCCCTCATTCCATCTTCCCGTCGCCCTCATTCCATCTTCCCATCGCCCTCATTCCATCTTCCCGTCGCCCTCATTCCATCTTCCCGTCGCCCTCATTCCATCTTCCCGTCGCCCACATTCCATCTTCCCGTCGCCCTCATTCCATCTTCCCGTCGCCCACATTCCATCTTCCCGTCGCCCTCATTCCATCTTCCCGTCGCCCACATTCCATCTTCCCGTCGCCCTCATTCCATCTTCCCGTCGCCCTCATTCCATCTTCCCGTCGCCCTCATTCCATCTTCCCGTCGCCCTCATTCCATCTTCCCGTCGCCCACATTCCATCTTCCCGTCGCCCTCATTCCATCTTCCCGTCGCCCTCATTCCATCTTCCCGTCGCCCTCATTCCATCTTCCCGTCGCCCTCATTCCATCTTCCCGTCGCCCTCATTCCATCTTCCCGTCGCCCTCATTCCATCTTCCCGTCGCCCTCATTCCATCTTCCCGTCGCCCTCATTCCATCTTCCCGTCGCCCTCATTCCATCTTCCCGTCGCCCTCATTCCATCTTCCCGTCGCCCTCATTCCATCTTCCCGTCGCCCACATTCCATCTTCCCGTCGCCCTCATTCCATCTTCCCGTCGCCCACATTCCATCTTCCCGTCGCCCTCATTCCATCTTCCCGTCGCCCACATTCCATCTTCCCGTCGCCCTCATTCCATCTTCCCGTCGCCCTCATTTCATCTTCCCGTCGCCCTCATTCCATCTTCCCGTCGCCCTCATTCCATCTTCCCGTCGCCCTCATTCCATCTTCCCGTCGCCCTCATTCCATCTTCCCGTCGCCCTCATTCCATCTTCCCGTCGCCCTCATTCCATCTTCCCGTCGCCCTCATTCCATCTTCCCGTCGCCCTCATTCCATCTTCCCGTCGCCCTCATTCCATCTTCCCGTCGCCGTCATTTCCCGTCCCGTCGCCCTCGTTTCCCTTCCCGTCGCCCTCATTTCCCTTCCCGACGCCCCCATTTCCCTTCCCGTCGCCCTCAATTCCCTTCCCATCGCACTCATTTCCCGACCCGGCGCACTTATTTCCCTTCCCGTCGCCCTCATTTCCCGTCCCGTCGCCCTCATTTCCCTTCCCGTCGCACTCATTTCCCTTCCCGTCGCCCTCATTTCCCTTCCCGTCACCCCCCATTACCCTTCCCGTCGCAAACATTACCCTTCCCGTCGCCCTCATTTCCCTTCCCGTCGCACTCATTTCCCTCGAGTCCTCCCTCCCCCTCATCCGCCCTTCCTCCACCTCTCCATCCTCTCATCCTCCCTTCATCTCATCCTCCCTTCCTCTTATCCGCCCTTCCTCTCATCCTCCTTTCCTCTCATCCACCCTTCCTCTCATCCTCCCTTCTCTCATCCTGTCTCCCTCTCATCCTCTCTCCCTCTCATCCGCCCTGCGTCTCGACCTTCCTTCCTCTCGTCCTCCCTCCCCGTCTTCCGCCCTCCCCCTCATCTGCCCTCCCTCTCATCCTCCCTTCATCTCATCCTCCCTTCCTCTTATCCGCCCTTCCTCTCATCCTCCTTTCCTCTCATCCTCCCGCCCTCTCATCCGCCCTTCTCTCATCCTCTCGCCCTCTCATCCGCCCTCCCTCTCATCCTCCCTTCATCTCATCCTCCCTTCATCTCATCCACCCATACTCATCCTCCCTTCCTCTCATCCTCCCTTCCTCTCATCCTCCTCTCCTCTCATCCTACCCTTCCTCACATCCTCTCTTCCTCTCATCCTCCCTTCCTCTCATCCGCCCTTCTCTCTCTCATCCTCCCGCCCTCTCATCCGCCCTTCTCTCAAGGGCTCGCCCTCTCATCCTCTCTCCCTCTCATCCTCTCTCCATCTCATCCTCCCTTCATGAAATCCACCCATCCTCTCATCCTCCCTTCCTCTCATCCTCCCTTCCTCTCATCCTCCTCTCCTCTCATCCTCTCTCCCTCTCATCCGCCCTCCCTCTCATCCTCCCTTCATCTCATCCTCCTTTCCTCTCATCCTCCCTTCCTCTCATCCGCCCTTCTCTCTCTCATCCTCTCTACCTCTCATCCTCCCGCCCTCTCATCCGCCCTTCCTCTCGTCCTCCCTTCCTCTCGTCCTCTCCCCCCTTCTTCCGCCCTCCCCCTCATCCGCCCTTCCTCACATCCTCTCTTCCTCTCATCCTCCCAACCTCTCATCCGCCCTTCTCTCATCCTCTCGCCCTCTCATCCGCCCATCCTCTCATCCTCCCTTCATCTCATCCTCCCTTCATCTCATCCAGAGCACGCAAGGTGAGGAGAGGGAGCACGCAAGGTGAGGAGAGGGGAGCACGCAAGGTGAGGAGAGGGGAGCCCACGCAGGGTGAGGAGAGGGGAGCACGCAAGGTGAGGAGAGGGAGCACGCAAGGTGAGGAGAGGGGAGCACGCAAGGTGAGGAGAGGGGAGCACGCAAGGTGAGGAGAGGGGAGCACGCAAGGTGAGGAGAGGGGAGCACGCAAGGTGAGGAGAGGGGAGCACGCAAGGTGAGGAGAGGGGAGCACGCAAGGTGAGGAGAGGGGAGCACGCAAGGTGAGGAGAGGGGAGCACGCAAGGTGAGGAGAGGGGAGCACGCAAGGTGAGGAGAGGGAGCACGCAAGGTGAGGAGAGGGGAGCACGCAAGGTGAGGAGAGGGGAGCACGCAAGGTGAGGAGAGGGGAGCACGCAAGGTGAGGAGAGGGGAGCACGCAAGGTGAGGAGAGGGGAGCACGCAAGGTGAGGAGAGGGAGCACGCAAGGTGAGGAGAGGGGAGCACGCAAGGTGAGGAGAGGGGAGCACGCAAGGTGAGGAGAGGGGAGCATGTCAGAACATTGTAGCTTATGCTGTTGTGTAGGCTATAGTGGGGTATCCCATAGGGGGTACAACCAATTAGGGTTTCATATTTGTACTCACATCATTTCATAGTTCACACATTCTTGTTCAAATCTTCTCATGGTATCGAGCAGGTTCCCCCTTGGGAACTGTGCTTAGGGCCCACCACATCGAGTTTTTTTTCCTGCCCGAAGCGCGCTCAGCCCGAGTCGCGCTCCGGGCCCTCACTTCGTCGAGCCGCCCTAGCGGCCCTTCCTCGCGGCCCCGCCGCCCCATCGCGCGGCCCCGCCGCCCTACCTAGCGGCCCCGCCGCCCTTCCTCGCGGCCCCGCCGCCCCATCGCGCGGCCCCGCCGCCCTACCTAGCGGCCCCGCCGCCCTTCCTCGCGGCCCCGCCGCCCCATCGCGCGGCCCCGCCGCCCTACCTAGCGGCCCCGCCGCCCTTCCTTGCGGCCTCGCCGCCCCATTGCGCGGCCCCGCCGCCCTACCTAGCGGCCCCGCCGCCCTTCCTCGCGGCCCCGCCGCCCCATCGCGCGGCCCCGCCGCCCTACCTAGCGGCCCCGCCGCCCTTCCTCGCGGCCCCGCCGCCCCATCGCGCGGCCCCGCCGCCCTACCTAGCGGCCCCGCCGCCCTTCCTCGCGGCCCCGCCGCCCCATCGCGCGGCCCCGCCGCCCTACCTAGCGGCCCCGCCGCCCTTCCTCGCGGCCCCGCCGCCCCATCGCGCGGCCCCGCCACTCTACCACGCAGCCCCGCTGCCCTATCTCGCGGCCCCACCGCCCTACCCAGCGGCCCCGCCGCCCTTCTGCAGCGGCCCCGCCGCTTCTCTGCAGCGGCCCCGCCGCCCTATCAAGCGGCCCCGCCGCCCTTTCTGCAGCGGCCCCGCCACTTCTCTACAGCGGCCGAGCCGCCCAGCAACAGCGCAGCCGAGCCGCCCAGCAGCAGAGCAGCCGAGCCGCCCCGCCGCCGAGCCGCACTGCAGCCGAGCCGCCCGGCCGCCCACCAGCCGAGCCGCCGTGCAGCCGACCGCCCAGCCGCCGAGCCGCCCAGCCGTCGAGCCGCCCTGCAGCCGAGCCGCCCGAGCAGCCCTGTCCGGTGAGCACAGACCCTCTGTCACTGCGTGCTCTTCCCCTTACTGCCTGCACTGCTGGTCTACTGCTGTCATGGCCACCCCTAGTGTCCTCACTTTTGACGCTGAGGGTCGGGCCATTGACTTTGAGGTCTGGGTAGATGACCTACAGCTGTTCTTACAGTGCGATAGGGCGGACGGCCTCTCTCTCTTTGACCTCACCTCTGGCGCTTCCCCTGCCCCTGCTGCTGATGCTGACGCCACTGTTCGCTCCCAGTGGGCCACGCGCGATGCTGCTGCACGTCTTGCTGTGCGTCGCCACCTCCCTACCTCCGAGCGTGCGCACTTTAGTCAGTACAAGAGTGCTCAGACCTTGTACGCCGCTGTAGTCGCGCGCTACTCCTCCCCTTCCACTGCTGCACTGAGCCGTCTCATGCTGCCGTACCTCTTCCCTGACCTTGCTTCTTTTCCCACCGTTGCTGACCTCATTACGCACCTCCGCACTAGTGACACTCGCTACCGCGCTGCACTTCCTGCTGACTTCTGCACCGCGAACCCCCCCCCCATGTACATCACTCTGTACTTCCTAGTCACTCGCCTCCCTGACTCCCTTCGAGTAGTCAGGGACCACTTTCTCTCAGTCTGTCCCACCACACTCACTGTAGACCTCCTCGAGAACGCCCTCCTCGCGATAGAAAAGAGCATAGTCGCTGTAGGAGCCTCTCGAGGTGACCCGCGCACCCCCATCTTTGAGGGGTGTTCTCCCTCCCCCCTGCTGCCCTCTGTTGCCTTTGCTGCTTCGGCCGACCTCCTTGTTCTTGAGTCGGTCGGTGCGGCGTCTGCCCCTAGCGGGAGACGCCGCCCTGGCAAGGGCAAGGGGGGCAAGGGAGCTGGAGGAGCGGGCGGTGGAGGTGGAGGTGGAGGCAGTGGGGGGAGTGGGGGTAGCGGTGGAGGTGGAGGTGGGGGTGGGGGGTTCGGTGGCGGCAGTGGAGGCGGAGGCCGCGGCGGCGGTGGCGGTGGTAGCGGAGGTGGCGGAGGAGGCGGCGGTGGAGGAGGCGGTGGAGGCACCGGCGGCAGTGGAGGCAGCGGAGGCGGTGGAGGCGGTGGGGGTGGCGGTGGAGCTGGTCGCGGGTCTTTGCAGAGGAGTGGCTCCGGTGGTGGCTCGCGCCAGCAGCAGCAGCGTGGTCGTGCGACCCTGTCCCCTCAGCAGCTCCGTGAGTGGTACACTGCACGCCAGCGGGGTGGGGGTTTTGGTCCGTGTACCTACGTCCTGCGCACCGGCGACCGTGCGGGTGAGCAGTGTGGGGGTGCGCACCCCACTCCGCGCTGCTTTGGCCGCCTGACGGACGCATGGCGTCACCAGTTCCCGGAGGCCTCCGAGATCCCTCGCTGGGACGAGCTGTCTAGGGCGGGGGTTGCCATCTTTGATCTGGACTTTGATGCTATTCTCTCTGCCATGTATGCTGTGTCTATTAGTGATGAGGGTGACTGTTACCGGTGTTTCCAGCCCGATCCGGGCATTGAGACTGCTGCTCTAGGTACTGGTGAGGCTGCTGCCCTAGGTGCTTACGACGCTGCTGCTCTAGGTGCTGGTGTGTCTGCGTCCTCAGGTACTGGTGAGTCTGCTCTCTCAGGTACCGCGTCGGCTTCGGCCTCCCTCACCTTCACTCTTGACTCTGGGGCGTCTCGCTCCTTCTTTCGGGACCGCACCACACTCACGCCACTTAGTCGGCCGGTTGCGGTGTCTCTGGCTGACCCCTCTGGGGGTCCGGTCCTGTCTCGTTTCTCCACAGTCCTCCCGTGTCCGGCGGCTCCCTCTGGCACCCTGTCTGGTCTCTACCTCCCCTCGTTCTCGACGAACCTGGTGAGTGGTGCTGACCTACAGGATGCGGGTGTCCACCAGTTCACTCCTGCACGTCAGAGAGTGACCCACTGTACAGAGGCTGGCACAGGCCGACACCTGGCTACGTTCACCCGTCAGCCGGGGTCGAGCCTGTACACTCTGACCACTGCGTCTCCTCCAGTTGCTGAGTCTGGTAGGGTAGTTACGTCGGGTCAGGTGTTTGCTGCGGCGTCCAGGTCTGGTCCTGAGTCTGCCCCCTGTTCGTGTCGTCTCCTGTCTCACGAGACTCTCCTCTGGCACCACCGCCTTGGCCACCCCTCTCTGCTTCGGCTCAGAGGTATGGCCTCCCGTCTTCTTGTGTCCGGTCTCCCCCGGTCCCTCCCTCCCCTTCCTCAGGGCCCTGGCCCTACCTGTGTCCCCTGTGTCGAGGGGCGCCAGCGTGCTGCCCCTCACTCCTCCCAGTTTCCTTCGACAGAGGCCCCGTTGCAGACACTTCACATGGACGTGTGGGGCCCAGCCCGCGTCCGTGGACAGGGTCACGAGCGCTACTTCCTGCTCGTTGTTGACGACTACTCGCGTTACACCACAGTCTTCCCCTTGCGCAGCAAGGGTGATGTCACTGAGGTGCTGATCAACTGGATCCGCGCAGCTCGTCTCCAGCTCAGGCAGAGCTTCGGCTCGGACTTTCCTGTTCTGCGTCTGCACTCGGACAGAGGCGGAGAGTTCTCCTCTGGCCTTCTGCGTGCCTACTGTCGTGCACGGGGCATCCGTCAGACCTTCACGCTTCCGGACTCACCGCAGCAAAATGGGATTGCTGAGCGCCGCATTGGCATGGTCATGGACGTCGCTCGTACGTCTATGATGCATGCGGCTGCCCCCCATTTTCTGTGGCCGTTTGCGGTGAGGTACGCGGCGCATCAGATCAACCTCCACCCCAGGGTCTCCAGGCCGGAGACCTCCCCAGCCTTGCTGTGGACGGGGAAGGTTGGCGATGCGTCGGCGTTCCGGGTCTGGGGATCTCGGGCGTTTGTCCGCGACCTGTCTGCGGACAAACTATCCCCTCGTGCTGCTCCTTGCGTCTTCCTGGGGTTCCCCCCTGACGCGCCTGGGTGGCAGTTTTGCCACCCCACCTCTCGCCGTGTTCTGTCCTCCCAGGACGTCACGTTTGACGAGTCGGTCCCCTACTACCGCCTCTTCCCCTACCGCACTCCGTCCCCCCCCCCACCCCCACTCTTCTTGGTACCAGGTCCCCCCCAGGTCGACCCCCTCCCCCCTCAGGGTCCTGCCCCTTCAGGTGTGTCCCAGGTAGACGCAGTCGAGCCTGTCGAGGTCACTGGTGACTCTGGTGCTGCTGAGGGTGCTGAGGCTGGGGGTGCTGTACCTGGGGGTGCGGAGCCTAGGGGTGCTGGGCCTGGGGGTGCTGCGTCTGGGGGTGCTGAGCCTAGGGGTGCTGAGCCTAGGGGTGCTGAGCCTGGGGGTGCTGAGCCTCGGGGTACTGAGCCTGGGGGTACTGAGCCTGGGGGTGCTGAGCCTGGGGGTGCTGAGCCTAGGGGTGCTGAGCCTGGGGGTGCTGAGCCTAGGGGTGCTACGTCTGGGGGTGCTGAGCCTAGGGGTGCTACGCCTGGGGGTGCTGAGCCTGGAGGTGCTCCGCCTGGAGGTTCTCCGAGTGCTTCGTCTCGCCGGGAGCCACTTTCTCCACAGGAGCTGCGTGAGTGGTTTGCCCGGCGCTGGAGGCGTGCTGCTGGTGCTGGAGGTCCTTCGGCTGCTGAGGGTGCTGCGGTCGCGGGTCCCGGAGGTGCTCGTCCTGGGTGCGCTGGAGCTGGTGCTGCTGAGGGTGTTGGCGCTGAGACTACCGCTGGCAGTCCTGCTGGGGTTGCTCCTGGTGCTGCTGGGGGTTCTGGAGCTCCTGGTGGTGCTGCTGGAGCGGGTGCTCCTGCTGAGGGTTCTGGTGCTGTCCCTGCTGCTTCTAGCGTCGCCGCGCGGCCTCGACCGTACTTCGTTCCACTCCTGCAGCAGGTTCTTGGTCTTCCACCTTCTACTGGTCCTCCTCCTCCCTTAGAGTGTCCACAGCCTGTCTCGTCCCAGCTACAGTTGCAGCCTACCTCCCCTTTGCCTGCTCCTTCTCCCTACACTGGTCCTACTGGAGGTCTGGCTGAGCGTCGTGAGCCTGCGTCTCGCCCTGCGTCGCCTGTCCGTGCTGCTCGCACTAGTGGTCGCGGTTCGCGTCAGCGTCCTCCTCCTGTCCCTGGCACGCACCGGATGTCTTTGCGTCCGTCCACTGCTCCTCTGCGTGCCCCTTTGCCTTCTCCTCCTGCGTCCTCTCTTCCTGCTCTTGCCGACCCGGAGTCGGACTCTCTTCGTGCTGCCAGTCCTACTGTCACGCGTCTCCTTGCTACTGTTGTCACTGACCCTTCTTTCGAGTCTACTGCTGCGTCTGCTCTCGTTACTGAGCTCGTCGACTTTGCTGCTCGCTGTCGCTTAGACTACGCTGCTAGTCTTGTTGCTGAGTCTGAGTCTGTCTGTCCTCCGTCCGTCGGGGGTGAGTGTGCCCTTGGCACGGACGTCCTTGAGGACAGGCAGGAGGAGTTCCAGTGTCTGGCAGCTGCCTCACCTCATCTCGTGTCCGTACTGCTTACCCCTGAGGGAGACCCGGATGCACTTGACATCCCGACTCCGCGCTCTTACGCGGAGGCGATAGAGGGTCCCTACTCCTCTCAGTGGCAGGCAGCTATGGATGCAGAGATGGCTTCCTGGAAGTCCACAGGCACCTACGTTGACGCTGTCCCCCCTCCTGGGGCGAACATCGTCAGTGGCATGTGGATCTTCAGGGTGAAGCGGCCGCCGGGTTCTCCACCTGTCTTCAAGGCGCGTTACGTGGCTCGTGGCTTCAGTCAGCGGCAGGGAGTTGACTACTTTCAGACCTTCTCCCCCACCCCGAAGATGACCACTCTTCGGATACTGCTGCATGTTGCTGCTCACCGTGACTACGAGCTGCACTCTCTTGACTTCAGCACAGCTTTCTTGCAGGGCAGCCTGCACGAGGAGATCTGGCTGCGTCGCCCACCTGGCTTCACTGGGTCTTTCCCTCCTGGTACCCAGTGGAGTCTCCGGCGTCCAGTCTACGGTCTCCGCCAGGCGCCACGTGAGTGGCACGACACACTGAGGACTACACTTGCGGCTCTTGGGTTTGCTCCTTCTACTGCCGACCCGTCGCTGTTTCTACGCACCGACACCTCTCTGCCGCCGTTCTACATCCTCGTGTACGTCGACGACTTGGTCTTTGCCACAGCTGACACTGCTGGACTCGCCTACGTGAAGTCCGAGCTGCAGAAGAGACACACGTGCACAGACCTGGGTGAACTGCGCAGCTACCTTGGCTTGCAGATCACCCGGGACAGAGCACGCCGCACCATTACCCTGACTCAGTCACACATGGTGCAGCAGGTCCTTCAGCGCTTCGGCTTCACGTACTCCTCGCCTCAGGCCACTCCTCTGTCTACTCGCCACTCGCTCTCAGCTCTGCCTTCGGATGAGTCCGTAGAGTCGAGTGGCCCGTACCCAGAGCTTGTTGGCTGCCTCATGTACCTGATGACCTGCACACGACCTGACCTTGCATACCCTCTTAGCATTCTTGCACGCTATGTTGCTCCTGGGAGACAGAGACCAGAGCACATGGCTGCAGCAAAGAGGGTGTTGCGCTACTTGTGCAGTACGTCGGGCATGGGGCTAGTGCTTGGAGGGCGGAGTCCAGTGGTCCTCACTGGGCACGCGGACGCTTCTTGGGCTGACGACCAGGCTACGCAGCGGTCGTCACAGGGTTACACCTTCAGCCTTGGTTCCGGCTCTGTTTCGTGGCGGGCTACTCGCTCGTCTTCTGTTCTTGGCTCGAGTTGTGAGGCTGAGATCTACGCCGGGGCCATGGCTGCACAGGAGCTTCGCTGGCTCACCTACCTGCTGACCGACCTTGGAGAGCCGCCTCGTTCTCCTCCAGTCCTGTACGTAGACAACAAGGCCATGCTGGCCTTGTGTCGAGAGCAGCGACTGGAGCACAGAACAAAGCACATTGCTCTCCGCTACTTCCTTGCTCGTGAGCTACAGCAACGTGGACAGTTGCGGCTTGCGTACGTGGCCTCTGAGGCCAACACTGCTGATGTCTTCACCAAGGCACTTCCGCCTTGTGATCATCAGCGCTTCTGCACTCAGCTGGGTCTTGTGCCCGTCTTGCCTCACTTGCTCTCCTCTTGACCTTGCTTGTACTCTCACATATATATATACCTGCTCTTGCTTGTCTAGCTTTATATATATGTGTGTACTCTTGCATGTGAACTGGCCGTGTGGCCTTGACACTGTGCTCGGACTGTGTGGTGACTTTGTGATCCACCCTGAGCTTGCTTTGCTTTGCTTTGCTTGACTGGTCTTGTGACCCCTTGTTCTCCCCCACTTTGCCTATGGGGGTGTGTCAGAACATTGTAGCTTATGCTGTTGTGTAGGCTATAGTGGGGTATCCCATAGGGGGTACAACCAATTAGGGTTTCATATTTGTACTCACATCATTTCATAGTTCACACATTCTTGTTCAAATCTTCTCAGAGCACGCAAGGTGAGGAGAGGGGAGCACGCAAGGTGAGGAGAGGGGAGCACGCAAGGTGAGGAGAGGGGAGCACGCAAGGTGAGGAGAGGGGAGCACGCAAGGTGAGGAGAGGGAGCACGCAAGGTGAGGAGAGGGGAGCACGCAAGGTGAGGAGAGGGGAGCACGCAAGGTGAGGAGAGGGGAGCACGCAAGGTGAGGAGAGGGGAGCACGCAAGGTGAGGAGAGGGAGCACGCAAGGTGAGGAGAGGGGAGCACGCAAGGTGAGGAGGGGAGCACGCAAGGTGAGGAGAGGGGAGCCCACGCAGGGTGAGGAGAGAGGGGCACGCGCAAGGTTGGCGATCGAAGAGCATTGGAGGTGAGGAGAGAGGGGCACGCGCGGGGAGGCGAGAGGAGCACGCAGGGTGAGGAGTGAGGAGCACGCGCGGGGAGGCGTGGGAGGCATGCAAGGTGAAGAGAGAGGAGAACGAGTAGGTGAGGAGAGAGGAGCACGCGCGGGGAGGCTTGAGGGGCGCGCGAGGGGAGGCGAGAGGAGAACGAGTAGGTGAGGAGAGAGGAGCACGCGCGGGGGGGCTTGAGGGGCGCGCGAGGGGAGGCGAGAGGAGAACGAGTAGGTGAGGAGAGAGGAGCACGCGCGGGGAGGCTTGAGGGGCGCGCGAGGGGAGGCGAGAGGAGAACGAGTAGGTGAGAAGAGAGGAGCACGCGCGGGGAGGCGAGAGGGGCGCGCGAGGGATGGCGGGAGGAGGCTGCGCGGGGAGGCGAGAGGCGGCCGCGCGGGGAGGCAAGAGATTCGCGAGCATTGAAGGCGAGAGGAGCACGCGAGGGGAGGCGAGAGGAGCACGCGCGGGATGGTGAGAGGAGGCCGAGCGGGGCGGTAAGAGGAGCGCGCGCTGGGATGCGATGGGATACCGCGCGGAAGGCGAGAAGAGCGCGCGCGGGGTGGCGAGAGGTTCCCGCGCGGGCTTACCGGAACGGTGCGCGCGCAGGGAGGAGAAACGTGGGCTTGAGAAACGGGCTTCCCGCGCGTGGAATCGTGGGCCTGACTGTCAGGATAGCGGGGCGTTGTGGGGACACGACGACGCTGAAAGTGGGTGGTCGCGGAGTGGTGCACGAAGCGCCGCAATGGGGCACGACGACGAGGAAGCGATGGGAGGGGATAGGGGTAAGGACGATGGGAGGGCAATGGCGACGGGGACCACGGGGGAAACGAGGGTGACGGTGCGTCAAGGGGGAGGCCGATGTGAGGGGATTTCCTCCCTACGCCTCTTGATCCTGTTTAGCGCGACGTCTCGTAATATGGGATTCGAGCATTTTACGCTTGTGACGAGCGCATTCCTAAATTTCGTGTTGCATCGGGGTTGAAGGTGGGAATGTGCTAGGGGCAAAAGCGAGTCTCGCTTAGTAGCCGCACAGGCATTCCTGAATTACCATTTCTAGGCAAACTGTGCACAGGCAGTTCCCTTCTTCCTTCAGCAGGGGTGGTTGGAACTCTCGCCAAGTTGAAGCGTTCTGCTCTACGACGCGGTCTTTGTGGGGTGCGACGTTTTCTGGTAACCCCACTGGCTCGGGAGGTGTTCATTGGGCTCGGAAGGCAAACTGTGCACAGTTTGCCCTTTTTGATTTGTAATTCAGGTCTTGGGCTTTAACTCACACCTTTGCTCAACTCCTCTCCCGTAACAGCTCATCTCTCGTCACCTCCTCGCAGTCAATCGTTCCGCGCGCACCTCCGCCTAACCAGCCCATCGCTTGTATCGACCAGCTCACGACCGCACTTGCTGACCTAAAGTTAGTCTATACAGTTCCTTCTACGAATCATTCCCAGCTTCGTAGCCTCAGTCCGTCCTTGAAACAGCGAAAATCTACCGCCGCAAGTTTGTTTCTCTGTCCTAAACAGCAAGAGTTGATGGAAATAAGGCCTCCGCAGCCCACCTGTTCCACTTCGACAGATCTACCGCCTCCACACAGCGTTCACCAAACCATTCGCGCCAAATCACCGCATGGCTATTGGCGACAGTGATATCTCAATATAGCTGTATTTATCTTCTAACATAGCTATGCTCCTTTCCTATAGACCTGCCCTCAGCCCTCAGTCGCTTTCTTCTCCTTGCCGCCCGTTCTCGTCCATTCGCCCATCTCGTACTTCTCAATATAATTCCGTATAGACGTATGTAGTTTGGCCAATTCTCTGCGCATCGTTCATCTCCGTCGCGAATTCTCAAAGTAAGGGGCCACGTCGGCACGGGATGCGGCTTGCGTTGCCTTGCGCAGAGCTAGTGGACCCGTGTGTAGCCTGAATTCTGAATCAGGATTAATAATCAGGGCGTGAATTTCCATCCAGACTTTCGCACGAGCATTCAACTTCTCGGTTTGACATAGCTAAGTAGCGCACAGTCACTTCGAAAATGAATTCAGCTAGAGTAACCGACGCATTCATGCCTCGCTATAAGCGCCGGCAATTGAGCCTCGTTATAGAGAATTTCTCGCAAGAAGATGAAGATTCCTGTATCGGGGATCAGCAGCAGCAGCAACAGAAGCAGCACCAGCACCAGCACCACCACCACCAGGACCAGCAGCAGCAGCGGCAGCACTTCACGCGCCCTTGAGGCGTTTCATCGGGCGGCGGACGTCAAGCCAGTGGCGCAAAGTCAGGGCCACCGCGCGGGCGGGTGGCTCGAAACTCTCCGCCAAGCCTCGCGCATCCGCGCAACCGGCGCTGGGCTTGCGGGTAGCTCCGCATCAGCGGAGGCATCCGCCTTCTCGGCGCCTTTCTCCGCTCCCGCTTCCGCCTCCACTTCTGCTTCCGCCTCCGCTTCCGCATCCCCCTCCGCCCCGTGCCGGTTGAAGCGGAGCGCCGCAGACGCGGGGCTGGAACGCAGCGCGGGCTTCGCGGAAGAGCCGAAGCTACTGAGGCGCGCAACATGCCCCGCGGAACGCGCCTACGTCGTTCCCTGCCACTGGGCCTCGGCAAACCCCGCTTCCGCCGCGAGCTCGCGCAACCCCGCCTCTTCCCCCGCCCCCGTCCCCGCTGCTGCCCGCGGCGCTGGCGCTAGCGCAACCTGGTCTGCGGGTCTCCTTGCGCTGAACGCGCTCGTATCTCCGCGGTACGCGTACGGCCATCCTTCTCGGCCCCCTCCTCCTGCCTCCGCCCCGCTTTCCCGACGTCATCCTCCGCCCCCCCGTTCACCCGCTTTTCCGCCCTCTCCCGCTCCGCTTCCCCCATTCCGAGCGGAATTCGCGCGCGCGCCGTCGCCTGCTTCTACTCCTACCTCCGTACCCGGGATTCCCGCCGCATCTGGTGCTCCACAGCGGTCCCTAGCGACTCGAAGACGCTCGTCCAAGTCGCCTGCCACGTCAGCGAACAATTCCACATCAGCGGGATTCAAAGTCCCGTTCTCGCCACGCGTATCTTGTGGTTCCGAGTCTGCTGACACGTGTACAAAGTGGAGTGGAGCAGGAGGAGCGGATTCGGCGAGCGAAGAAAGGCCACGTGGAATGGCGGCACAGGGAGTGTCAGAATCATCATCATCAGCAGCAGCAGCAGCAGCAACAGCGAAACTGCCACCTCAGGTGGTGCACCTGCCTCGTCAGCTGCTGCGTCTGCCAGCTCAGCTTTTGCTGGCAGACTCGCACCCACCGCCTCCCCTCAAGGAAAGAGGGGAGGATGAGGAAGGAGAGAAAGTGAGGAGGAGAGAGAAGAGGGAAGGAGAGGGGTTGGTGAGGGAGGGAGAGAAACAAAAAGTTGTCCTGGCGGTGAGTGCTGAGGGGGAGAAGATGGAAGTGGGGGAGGTGATAAGGGGAGTGGAGATGAGAGATGGAGAGGGGGGGATTGGACGAGAGGGCGGGATAGCAGATAAGGGGAGTGAGGCGATGGAGGTGGAGGGAGGAGGAGAAGCGGGAGTAGGAGAAGTGGGAGAAGGGGCAGGAAGGACAGAAGAACGAAAAGAAGTAGCAAGGAAGGTAGGAGGAGAAGAAACGGAAGGGGAGGACGTAGGGAGGGAAGAGGGGCAAGAAGCTGGTGATGCGAAAGGGGGTGAAGCAAGCGGAGGAGGTGAAGGGGTTGAAACAGGTGAAGCAGGTGGTGGTGACAAGCAGGGCGAGCAAAGTGGGTGGTTGTGGGAGGAAAGTGGTCTGAATGGGTGCTATCTCGACACGAGCAGGCCATTTGTTGATGAAACGGTTACAAGCGGTGCTAAGGTCGTTACAAGCAGTGCTGAGGAGGTTACAGGCGGTGCTGATGTGGTTTCAAGCGGTTCTGAGATTGTGATACTTTGTGCAGACATGGACCTGGATGCGATGCCTCTGGGTTGCTGCCTCGGGACCCAGCAGGAACAACCTGGGGAGGCTCACATGGAGCATGAAAAGCAGCTTGAGGAGCAGCAATTGGAGCAGCAGCAGCAGCAGCAGCAGCAGCAGGTGGAGGAAGAGTGCTCGCTGGAGCAGTTGACTCGCGTTGACTCGATGGAAGATGACGACTTCTGGGAGAGAATGGTCACCAGCTACGGCACACTGGACGACCTGCCCGCTACAGCCGAAGGCATGGCTGCTACAGCTGGGGAGGCCGCTACAGCCAGAGCGGAGGCTACAGCCAGAGTGGCGGCAATAGCTGAAGGGAACTTTACAATTGGGAGGGCGGCCACAGCCGATGGTGGGACGGCCGTGGGTGATCGTGGGGTAGGGGTCGCCATATTAACCGATGGAAATACCCTGCCTGCTGCAACTCCCGAATCTCTATCTGTTGTTGATGGTGCACTGGCAGCGGTTTCCTCTCACTCAGGGGTGCATGCATCAGTCGTAGATGGAAATACCCTGCCTGCTGCAACTCCTGAACCTCTGGCAGTTGCTGACGGTGCACTGGCAGCAAATTCCGCATACTCGGGGGTGCATGCAGCAGATATGGATTTCGAGTTGCGTCAAAAGACATCTCTGGATGCTGTTGACGGTGCGCTGCCTGCATTTTCCTCACACTCGGGGGTGCATGCAGCAGATATGAACCACCAACCTCCTTCTGCGGATGCTGAAGCAGCAGCTTCGTCGGGTTCTAAGGCTTGCACGGGCGAACTTCCTCGCCCGACCTATCATGCCGAGCCTGTTGAATGCCAAGCCAACATTCTACCCTCGGCCAAGCCTGCAGGTCTTGAATCCGAAGCTGCTGCAGCGGTCCTGCTAGCGCTGCTGGCTCGGCAGCCGAACCTCAATCGCGTACGGCCCGAAGCAGGCAATTGTGTACTGGCAGAAGGCTCGGTGTCACCACAGGGATCTGAACGGAACATGGTGCTTCCAGGCAGCTTCCTTCAGCAGTGCATCAGAAGCATGAGTGGAGCAGTGCGGCCTGCAGTAGAGTCACCCTCGTTAGAGGCACAGTTGCTTCAAGTGCTGCTGCTGGCACTGGCCAGACAAGGGGGAGGAGGAGGATTGACATCAGCAGCAGCAGCAGCACGAATGCCAGCATCAGCAACCGCAGCACCAGATATGGTGCTAATGTCAGGAACAATTACACAGAATAAGGATGCTTTCCTTCAGCAGCATCAGCAGCATCACCAGCAGCATCACCAGCAGCAGCCCAACTTCCTAAAGCAGAAGCTACTCCTGTTGCTATTGCCCCTGCTACTGCAACAGCAGCAACAGCAGCAACAGCAGCCTCTGCAGGAGCAGGGAAGTATTAGGCAGCTTTACTCAGTGCTTGGCGGATTGCTTGGCTTGCCACGTTAGCCAGGACGTGGCTGCACTCAATAAGGGCAGATGCTTTGCATTTATGATGAGCTGGTGCCATCCAGTACGGTGTGCAATGTAAATGTACACTATTTCATTTATTTGTTTTTGCAGCTTCCTTTCCCCCCAAGTTTAAAGCAGGAGGATGCCAATACTGATGTATTACATCTTTTTTTTATAAGCGAATTCATTACCGTATGTTTTTGTTCTCTTGTAAAAAACCAATCATTAGCGAATTCGTCACCAGGTAATCCCGTTGCTCGTCGCAAATTCAAGAATGGAAATCCAGATCGTTATCCTCGAAGTTGGAACCTCCACACTTGAAGTCTTGCGTCCAAAAAGCTGCTTTTGAACCATTTCTAGGAGGTAAGCGAAGCAGTAACGGTCACCGACATTTCCGTGGAGCCATTTCCCGTCCCAACAGACCTTACATCTAACGCATCACACGCCATGGCCGGCTCCTCTTGGTCATTCTCGTCTCTGCGCTTCGCTGATTGACGAATAGTCGATATTTTTGCGGGAAATAGCGTTTTGCGAAACATGGCCTCGTCTTGGTCATATTCTTTACTGCGTTCCGCCGATTGACGAGTCATAGATTAGGTGGCAAGCGAAAAATACCGTTTTGCGAAATATGGCCTCGTCTTGGTCATCCTCGTTATGGTCTTCTTCGGCTGCATCGTCTGCTTCTTCGCAACCCAGTGACGAGGTGATTCTTCGCCTGC